TAGCTGCAAGACCTCCACAGCAGCTGGCTCTCAAAGTCCCTCCCCTGATCTGAATGGCCATACACCCAAAAGTATTTATCCCATATACACAGAAAAATATTTATTCCATAACACCTTGGCCATAGTGGAAGCTTTCTGATCTTGCATAGGATAGGTCTCTGCATATCGTGTGAAGTGATCCATCACCACCAAGATGTTACCCACATTCAACTGTCAGTTTCAACAGACAGAATATCTATGCACACAAGCTCCAGGGCCTTCGAGCTGGGAATCATATGTAAGTAGGCAGTCTTACTGGGCAGGGTCTTCCGCTGCATGCATTTGGTCTTCCCATCACTAGCCATGCAGGGCCAAAAAAATCTATCACGGACTGGTGCCAGAGTCTGTTCAGCTCCCAAGTGCCCAAAATCATTGTGCAGTGCCCACAAAACTAACTCCTGGTACACTTTTGGGAGCACAAGCTGTGCTATTGTTTCCCCAGAGGCCTAGTGGTGACTTGATACAGAACTCCATCTATTACTTAGAGCTGGACCCATTCCCACATTAGCACTCTGCCGCACAATGTGTTGAGCCCCTTCCCAGGCACAAGGGCTCCACCCTTCTTTTGTTCCAGAATCTCATTAATCTCTGGGCCCTGTTTCTGGGTCTCTCGCCATTGGGGAATACTCATCTGGGGCAGAGCAGATTGAGTCAAGGTGATGTAACTTAACTCACCAGGGCTGCCAGAATGCGCTCCAGGGGCACTCCCAGGACCTCTGCCACACAATCGCCTATCCTGTCCTCTAGAGATCTCCCCAGTCCTCCCAAGTTGCAGATGCTCTTAACTTCCTCTTCCTTAACCATCTTCACCCCAGGACCACATGGGCAATGAGAAAGGGCATCTGCATCTACATTTTGTTGCCCAGCTCTGTAGTGTAGACTAAATGGGTAAGCTGACAGAGCAAGCACCCACCGATGCCCAGTGGCATCTAGCTTAGCACTAATCAGAATGTACATCAGGAGATTGTTGTCCATCCATACTGTGAACTTTGCCCCATACAAATAGTCTTTAAACTTCTCAGTGACAACCCACTTCAGCGCCAAAAATTCTAGCTTATGAACCAGGTACCTCATCTTGCTAGGTGTCAGGCTTCAACTGGCAAATGCAACTGGCGTTTGTTCCCTTCATGGTCTTGGTAAAGCACAGCCCCCAGACTTTCAAGACTGGTGTCTGTCTGCAACACATAGGGTTTAGCAGAACCAGCATAGGCCAGCACAAGCACTCGAGTGAGCCGTGCCGTCAAAGTTCAGAACACTTTTTCACGCTGGTCAGTCCAGCAAGACCCAAAAGGTTCCAATGGATGGTGCAGAATGGCTTGAGTAGGTGCCACCACCATGGTGTGGGGGGCCTTGGCAGGGCATTTGTGTCTCCCCATCTGACAGCCCCGCGTTAACTCATTTAATGGTTTAATTATCGCAGCGTAATCTTGGACAAAACGCCTATAATATCCTGTAAATCCAAGGAACCTCTTGAGATTCTGATAGTTTTGGGGCCACGGCCACATAGTCATGGCTTCTGTTTTCTCAGGATCAGTACTGATTCCGTCCTGGGAAACTACATGTTGGACATATTTAATGGAAGTTTGACAAAATTTACATTTGTCCAGTGCTCACTTGAGTGCCACAGCTTCTAGCCTATCTAAGACTTTCATCAATCTCCCCTCATGTTCCTCAAGGGTTCTGCCAAACACTATAAGATTGTTGAGGTAAACAAGAACTTTTGTCATGTTCATATCTCCCACCACACTCTCACTAACTGCTGAAAGGTGGATGGGGCTCCTGAAATTCCCTGTGACATCCTTTTGAATTGGTAGAACCCTAAAGAGCAAATAAAAGCAGTTTTTTCCTTATCCTTATGCCATAGGAGAATCTGATAATAGCCACTGTGTAAATCTAACACTGAGAACCACTGGCTCCCAATTAGACAATCCAGGGCGTCTTGTACATGTGGCACAGTATATTGATCGGCAATTGTCCTACCGTTCAAAGTATGATAGTCTATACACATCATGATTGTTCCAGTTTTCTTTCTCACAATCACTATCGGGGAAGCATACAGGCTTCTTGATTCTTTAATGATTCCACTGTTCATCAAATCTTGTAGATGCATTGTCCATCACATCTTCTATTTTGGCAAGCGCAATCTTCCTTTATCATTCATGAAATGGTCTAGTATCTTGTAGCTGTATGTGGTGCTCTGCCCCTTGGCCAACCCCATGTCCCATTCATGAAGCGAGAAGACTTTGGGCCTAGTTTCTGCTGTAACTGGGCCTTCCACTTCGGATGCACTGGTGAGTCTCCAAAATAAAACCAGGTGGGGTCCAACTCCCCCCCTTCAGTGGGACACAGTGGTGGCAAGGCCACATTTACTTCCTTCAGGTTGCCACTTTTTGCCCAGGTTCCACAAAAAGGTTCTGCCCTGAGGGGTTGGCTACCAGCACCAAGATCTCCCATGGTGCTGCTTTCCTGAGTAAGATTACACCACTGCGGACCAGCATTCTCTTAAGCGATCCCTACCAGCACACAGGTTCCAACACTGCCAGCTTTTGATTGCCAAATCCCACAGGACACTGGCACTTAGTATGCAGCAGCTAGCTGCTTTGGGCAGACACGCACTCATGGGCAGTACAAGTGTAGTGTAATGCTCCCATAGTAGAGTCACCTTTCTTTAGTGGCTAGTTCTCAATCTTTTGATATGCCACAGCACATAGGGCATGCGTCTTAAGGGTCGCTGAATATTGTTTCCCAGCTTCTGCTTATAATTCCCTGTCAGGATCTGAAATAGGCTGGAGTTAGTCCCCACTATGATTGAGGTCCCCTGCATCCAGTTGGGATCTGTACACACCAATGCCACAGTGGACACTTCTCTTTTAACACCCATGACACCTTTGGGGAACTTGAGGTGAGCTATTACATATCCGCTATAGGGGTAGGCTTCATGACTCAGACCGCAGAGACCTAACCCTGTCAGTGATTGCAGGGGCAGATGTTTTAGGTGTTGGTCATAAAAGGAACAAAACATGATTGTCACCTGCAATCCGCTGTCCAGGACAGCTGTGTACTGGTACTAGTGTCCGTCCACCATCACAGGTACCTCTGCTCTGGGGCTGACCAGTCCTGGGGGAAATTGCTGGGGTGAATCAGGGACCTGGAAGCTGAAACATATTGGGGTAGCAACCCGATGTAGCTGGGAGCCACGTGATGCTGGAGTAGCCAGCAGAGGGCAGGAAAGCAGGGAAATGGCAGCTACAGGCGGATGGGTGGGGGGAGTGGCGGTGAGTGGGTGACAGCTGGGCGGGAGCATGGGGCCCATGTCGGTGCCCTGGGGCCAGGGCCAGCGGGGCTCAGAGTGGGGCAGCAGGAGCATGGAGTCCAGCACCAGCTATGTTGGTGGGGGGGCAGAATTCCTGCAGGACTCCTGCTTCCCTGCTCTGGGTCCCGCTGGTGCTCACCCTGGGACACCAGCATGGGCCCCGCACTCCCACACAGCTGATGCTGCACTCCATGTGCCCGCTCACTG